TCTAAAAGGTAGATAACATGCAAGATGGTCATCGGGCCCCCGCCCGGCATCAGGCCCCGCCCGATAAACATGCAAACACATAACCTATGCAAAAGTCACGTAGACATCTAGCATCCTAAGCATAACAACCATGGGTCGGCATTGGTGTCTTCGACCCGCTAAACACAGTGAGGAAATTCACCTCAAGCTGCTGAATCACTCGAAAGAATCTTTGGCTGCTGGTCCGGAAAATCCCCGTCCTATCAAATCAATAAAATCTAATTATTAATTCGATCTCAATCCATAACCATAAGTCTAATCTATTCGCCCCATAACCAGGGCAAAAGACCATTTTACCCTTTTATCTATCTTGGCCCAAAATCATGGCCCAATCCAACTACTAAGAAACCCCATATCCTACTTGGTAACCCAAGGCCCAATATGGCCCAATCTTCCAAATTGGGCCCAAAACCCTTCATGGGCCTAAAATCCAAGGAAGTCCAATATGCTAGCCCGAAGTTCAAAACAAAAGTCTGATTATCCAACAAGGCCCACACAATGGAAGCCCAAACATTGGCCCAATACCAAAAACGTCAAGTCCAAGGCTCGTCTGCTGAGTACATGGGGCGTACTCAGCTCATACGCTTAGCGTACTCCTTCTAGGGCTAGTACGCGCAACGTACCAGCTGGGTATGCCCATATTTGATCCCTAAAGGCCACTTATTTGATCCCTAAAGGCCACTTATCACGTAAAGTTGGCAACTTTACATACATGCATGGCTTAATGGGGCTCAATAGCTCAAAAAGTGCTTAACAAATGTCTTAATACATGAATGGGTCCAAATACTCCATAAAGTTGACATTTTTATGAACATGGGGACTGATTGGAGCTAAGATCTAACATCCATTGCCTCTGTAGTAGATCAAAAGCTCTCCTTTAACACAAAGGACTGAAAAAGTGCACAAAATGCTCCATGAACTAGATCTAACATATAAGAGCATAAAGATGTAAGCTTTTTTACCTCAAAAAGCTTGCAAATGCGGAGATGATCCTAAATCCACAAGCTCAAGCAATCCCCTCAAGTGTTCCTCTTCTTCTTCTCCTTCACAAACCACCAACAAACATTCTTCAAGCTCAAAACTCACCAAATCACTCTAGGGTTTCGTTTCTGGAACAAGGAGAGGTGGAGGCTAGTTAAACATGTCCAAACGAGGCTAGGTTTAAATAGGGTGCAAACCCTAAAAATTAGGGTTTGCATCAGCCTCACGTACGCCCTGCGTACTCCACGTACGCCCCACGTACGTGGTTAAGACCCGCGATTATCAGGATGGCTAGTACGCTCAACGTACTCCTTGAGTAAGCCCCGCGTTCTAACCAAAGGACCAAATTGAAAGAGATTTTCGATAATGACTAAAAGAGAAACTTACCAAAAACTTGATTGTTACACAACTGTTTGACATTATCACTTACCTAAGTTAAAGATAATATTATGTTATTTTTGCATGGCATTGATATGTTTTTATGTTCATTATTACATTATTAGAACATTAATTCATGTATGCATCACCATAACTTCATTTACTCTATAATATTTATTTTAGTCATCTTGCTGTTAATTTCGACATTGTAATTGCATAATGTTACATTTCCTTATACTACAACAAATATAAATATCATGTCGACAAAAAATATACAACATAAAACCATAAATTTATCAATGACTAAGAATCAAACATATGTCGATTAACCATAAAATAAGAATAAAATATATCTAACCTTCATTTTAACTTCATTATTACAAATAAACTTTTTTTTAATTAGATCGTATTTTAAAATCCACCCATTTCAATCATTATACACTAAATTTTTCATTATAATGAGAACAATACATTCATAGTAATATATCACAAAGACCTCCATGGGCGGTGCTTAGCACGGGCCGCACACATTCCTATGAATATTATAGCATACAAAAGGATAAGAAAAAATGAATATTGTTGTTGTAGAACAAAGATTAACTCACATAAAAACTAAACACTATACGGAAAAAAGAATTAACGCCTCAAATACAAAAAACGAGTGCATGTTGGCACTTGACTAAATGGAAAAACCTTGAGGTAGAGTGCATAGTACCATTGTATGCAGAACTTAGGATCAAAAATTTTGTTACTTGTCCAAACAATATGCAAACAGCAAACAAAACTAACGATTAAGCCTATATAATAATAATAATAATAATAATAATAATATATTACCCAAACAACCAACTACCGGTCGTCTACCGGGTAAGGCTTACCTATTGTTCTCTCTATCTGAGTTCGAGACCTGGGAACCCATTTACTTACCCAAACTCAACAACAATTTTTTGGTTTAACGCCTTCCCACTCTTATTTACATATAAAAAGTAGTAATAGACCCTCATGATGTTACATATAACCTAAGAACGAAATTAAGTCCACACGGATTGGCAGCATAATTATTTTGTTACTTGTCAACGCCATTGATGTAGATGCAGATCAAGCTGTTTACATACCCTGTTGTGCTGCCATGCTGCCAGGAAGGTGTCAGGATCCAATGCTGCCCTACCATCACCATCATCAACACAAATGAACAACTATCCATCCAACACCCTCTTCTTTTATGCCGAACAAACAACCACCCCTAACGTCGTCTTCTTCTATCATATATGTAACATTTTACATGATGTTAACATGGATCATCATCTACTTGTACCTTCATAGTTCATATCAATAATAATAAAAGCATAATAAAACACCATGATTGTTAAAGAAATGACTAAACTACAAATGGGATCTAAGAACCTCTCACCTTGCCGAGGCTACTAGCCAAGTATAAAATGGTCTAATCGTGATAGAAAATAGTTAATTAGGCGCTTAAATTGTAAAGTGATGGAGTGATTAATGGAACAAGTTCTTGGAGATATTTTCTAGAGGTAAATGCAAGAACTAGCAATGTAATGTGGTTGATTTGTTAATATGATTTATAAGTTTCATTTCTTTGTAATGAATATTTTACATTAAAAAACATACCTAATTATCAGTGACAAATCTAGGATTTAAACTCACGGGTGTCCATCTTTAATCAAATGACTAAATAAACATATAGAATTTTTTTGTTATCGGGGTTGGGTGTCAATAATACAATCTAAGTCAAATATAAACTAATGAATATTTCAAAATTATTCATGACAGGTTCTCATATCCTAAACTAAATCTATATATTGTTGCTAATGTCAAACAAATAAACCAATCATTAATTAAGAATATTCTAAATTCATTACTTATAAATATAATTATCAACTAAATAAAAATAAATTACTAATCAAATAAAATAATGTTTTGAATATTACTAAAAAATAAAAGCAATAAGAGAATTAAAAGATCAAGAAATAATTTTATTGTTTTGGAATTCAGCTTATGGTTGCTGTCGATTAGAACGTTGTGACACACACTACATCTATTTCCTAGGTAGACCAATAGACTTTGACTTTTTAGTTAAGTGGTTTTATAGTATTTCTTTATCTCTCTGCACACGAAATACAAACATTGGGTAGATAAAGTGCAAACCTGTTGATATCTTAAAGATAACCGAGATTGGTCGCCGGAGAAAAAGGAGAAGCAAGCGGCTGGGTAGTCTCCGGTTGGCGGAAATGCATAGAGCGTGGGCACCGATGGACTGAACTGTTGAACAAAGGGACGACAACCCAAAATCAATGGATTATGGAGATGAGCAGTCAAGTGAAACTATCGGCGACAACAAAGAACAAATGGCGGCGAATGTAGGCGGAAGATGGTGGAGGCTTCCGGTGACCCAAAACAATTTGTAAATTTTGTATTTTTTAGGGTTTTCGCCTTTTTCAATCTTGTATTCTTTTTCCTATCTTAAATATTATTTTGTCTCATATTTACAAGATTATTAAAAATCGATTATCATATTTATATAATACATTTTTTTTCACATTAACTAACCTCCTAAAACATTTGTAACCATATATGATAAAATCATAATCGTTTCTATAGCTTATCATATTTACAGAAAAAATTATTCATTGTAGACATCGAAAAATTCCAAAACCTGTTAAAAAAAGTTGTTTTGTTTTAAATTTAACAAGTGTGCATTTTGTGTTGGCCACAGGTGTCCGATGAAATCTCTTATATAAGCTATAATAAAAATTCAAAAATTAGGGGTGTCCATGGACACCCTTAACATTAACGTAGGCTCGCCTCTGCTAATTATAGCAATGTACTTTCATTTTTTTTTTTTAATTTTACAGGCTGGAAATTGCTATGTATTTGACTCAGATTGTTTTATTTGGTGAAATAAATGTAAGTATATTGTTGTTACCTGCAACTTGCTCTTTTATTAAACTTAAAATTATATCCCTTCCATATTTTAAAATCCATTGTTTTCTTTATCTGTTACTTTTTTTACAATGTTATTTGCATGCCAAGATATCCAATTGTATTTATTTCTAGCTTTACAGGTTATGGAATGAACTTTCTTACTTATATGGATATTTTTTATGCAAAACTATCAAAACAAGGGTGAAATAAAACAGACAACCTCACATACACACAACCAAATCCATATTTTGTGTGTTGATGCGTATATATGTGGGGGTATGTGTCTTGTTCTTTAAAAAATGAAGGGGAAATTACACCATTAGTCAACATATATCAGAAAGACCTCCATGGGTCGTGGTTAGCAAAATTGTATTATAGACATTACCTGCTTACTATAATTTTGCAACACATTAAAAAACTAAAGTGATGGACTAAACCGAGAAATAGTTTTTAAAGGACAAATTCTATAAATAAAGATTTAGTTGGGGGACTCTTTATGTAATTAGGCTTTAGCATAACCGAGAAATAGTTTTTAAAGGACAAATTCTATAAATAAAGATTTAGTTGAGGGACTCTTTATGTAATTAGGCTTTAGCATAACCGAGAAATAGTTTTTAAAGGACAAATTCTATAAATAAAGATTTAGTTGAGGGTCTCTTTATGTAATTAGGCTTTAGCATGAACGCGAAGCTTGCATGCGTTCTTTCCAGGATTTGGAACTCAAGAACACAAGCGCGCAAACGTCATGCACAATATGGGGCTTTTTCTTGTACATTATTATTGAGAATTTCCCCCAAATTATACACATATAGGAAAATTCGCTTCGATTTTCTGGACTCTTTCGATTTAACAAAGAGAGTCCAGAAAATGGGACGCACGATAATATATTTGTCAGTTGAATAATTCAAACAAAAAAAAAAGTTCTGAATTGTGTTCGATTTGAATGTTCCTTATCTTTTCAATCTTTTATTTGGTATCTTTTTGCATTAATTCGTTCAATTGTCAACCCTTAGGGTTCTTGTTCAACCTAAGTACTACTGAACCTAATGATTTGACCCAGAGTGATTACCAATTTCTGTTGCGATGCCGCAAAAGGATTCATCTAAGTCCTGTGGATGCTTCGGCTCTCTTTTCGGAAAGAAACCTTCAGGATCTGGGGTAATCTTCTTTAGGAGATCTTGTAATTATACATTTCAAATTCTCTTAGCTGCTTGACATATATATGCTCATAAAATTTATTAATTTCTAACTCGTCCCTGACCTTTTTTTAATATTCCTGCTGATTAAATGCAATTTAGTATGGTCAGATATAGATTATAACCTTTCTGTTGTGAATTCCATAGTACTAATCTAATTCACATAAGGTGTTTGATTAAAAACCCCAATGGGTTCATGGTTAAATTTGTACTAGTACTGCTATTCACTCGGCTGATTGACTTGTTATTGATCTGAAAGAAAGGGAAAAATCCCTCGGGGAGGAGTAGAATCATTCGGGCAGCAAGTAATCACCTTTTGAGCAGTAGTAAGAAAAAGTCTGGATCACCAAAGAAGGCTCAAGCTTCCACAAATGGGGTGGTGCAGAAGTCGGATGGTGTAGCTGACAAATTGATCACAACATCTGAGCTTCAAAATAAGATCATAAGCTTTAGAGAGTTGCTTAATTTGCCTCATTGTATCAGTTCTTTAACCATTATAGAGGTATAATCATTTATATGATTACACAACTAAAAATGAAAACGAAAATGCAACCTATTTCTATGTCTTATCTGCAGTTGGTGAAAGACACGGTGAAAGAACTTCATAATTTACATCCTGATGTTGTGCAATGTGGTTCAGTGTCAGATTCAGGAGCTATGCCTAAGGTTTGTTAATTGTTAAAATAGAATTGTGAATTTGTATAGAGTTCAAAGTTTTGGTTTATAATTAATTGACCTTGTAGGTAGGTAAACACGCAAAACTCTTTGCTAGCATTTCGTGCCATGTTTGATGCATAGTAATCAACCGGTTCTTTGAGTAGGCAATCAATGAGCTTTGTGAATCTATCAAGTCTCTTGGGAAGCATTGGATGCAAAGTGATGAATGGATGGTTAGATCCAAGAATGATGATGAAGCTAATGGCGATTTGGAAAGACATGGTAAGTTAATTTTTTGTATTGAAATAAATGCAGCCTTATAGATTCTCTTTTGATATGGTTTTTGTGGCAATGGGAATTTCTGTAGCGCTGGATTTGCTTGATGACATAATTAATGTGGCACGAGTGAGAACATTTAATAATAAAAAGGATACAGATGATGATGATAAAGAAATAAAAGAAGATGTTGACTCGCCTTCTAGTTCATATGGAAAGTCTTCCAGAAGGTCAAATTTTGACAAAGAAAGATGTTCATCTTCACCAACAACCCCAACTTCAGTTCTTCCCGACTTTCCAAATAACAAATCTGCAAAGGCATGCTCAAAAGTTACATATTCTCCACCTGTTCTCTTAGGCTACATTTGTTACACATGACATGCCTAGACAAACATTCTAGGGCTATTTTCGATGATGAGTATGAGGAGGACATTTCACGTCTTTTACGCAGATAACATATCGAGAGAAAATCTTTTTCCCACTCAAAAAGGTAGGACAGAGACTTGCTCTCGTCTATGGAAAAAGACGAGAATGCCCTTCTCATGCCGGTCATTGTAAATAGCCCTAGAAAGCTTGTCCAGGTGTAACAAACGCAGCCTTATAGCTCAAGTTGAAGGTGTTGTGAAAGGAAAGGCTATTGATATTAAGTGTTTGTGATTGCAGATGGACCCTCATGTGGTACAAGTAAACATGGTGTCTGAAGTAGATGAAGATGATGGACATTCTGATAAAGTTGAAGGGAGGAATAAAGATGGAAATTCTGATGGGCTTGTAAGAGCACATATGGAGATTTCTGTACCACCATCTGTCTTAAAATCAATTGTAGATGCTGAGAATATATTGATTCCTGCAGCAGCTTCACCATCATCATCTTCTGAAAGACCATCAATTTCAGCACCAATTATATCGCCACCACAACAGCTGTTGGTTTCAGAAGAAAGTCAGCCACCACCGCCGCCAGGTGGCAAGTTGGAGATTTCACCACCACCGCCTCCGCCACCGCCACCACCACCACTACCACTAGATCTCTCAGTGGGAGAAAATGATACAACAACACCAGAGCCACCTCCACCTCCACCACCACCATCAATGGCTACAAGTAATACAACATCACAGTCAGATCCACCACCTCCGCCACATTCACCAGCACCTCCACCACCACCACCACCAGAGAAACCATCTATGGCTTCTTCTGATGATTCAAGCCCACCTCAACAAGCTCCATTGACAACACCATCACCACGTTCACCTGCAATTTCATCACCGCCACGTATGACACCAGGACCACCACCTCCTCCACCAGCTCCCGCGGCATCTGGAAGCAATCCACCACCAGCTACATCAGCACTCCCACCACTACCACCCTCGGCACCAGGCAATGCCATGCCTGCATCCCTAGGATCACATCCTCCTCCACCACCTCCCACAACATCCGGAAACATTCCACCACCACCACCATCGTTTAAAGGATCAATGCCAGCAGCACCACCAGCAGCATCTGGAAGCCTTCCACCACCACCACCAGCATCGTCTGGAGGGTCAGTGCCAGCACCACTACCACCAGGACGACAAGGCAAAGGGGGTGCTCCACCACCACCACCTGCGGTTGGTGGTAGTGGAAAATTGCTACGTAAATCAGTTAGTAAACTGAAGAGATCATCTCAGATGGGATGCCTGTATCGTCAACTAAAAGCAAAGGTTGAAGGATCAAATTCAAAGGCTACAGGTAAATCACCACAAAAGAAAGGCAGTAAAGTCGGTGCTTCTGGTGGAAATGGAAAGCAGGGACTGGGAATGGCTGATGCACTAGCAGAAATGACAAAAAGGTGAACCAAACCTTAAAAAAAAACCATTTATAATTTAATTTATTAACTTATGTCTTTAACTTTTGTTGTTTTCAGATCATCTTACTTTCAGCAAATCGAAGAGGATGTAACAAAATATTCAGACGCCATTAAAGAAGTGAAAGTTGCCCTCGCATCTTTCCAAACATCAGACATGAACGAGCTCATAAAGTTCCACAAATATGTGGAATCCCATCTTGAGAAACTAACTGATGAAACACAGGTCTAGACTCTTACAATTAATTAATTTAGGTCAACTCTTAGGCAGTGTACTTTATCTTTCACCCATGAATATGATGACATTGTTCTTACGCCTCTTTACCCATAATGCGTATAAGTTTCAGGTTTCATATTTGCTTTGTTGCCCTTTCTCAGTTTAAAAAAATGGAACTACTTTTCTATATTGGGGTAAAAAAAAGTAACTATGTTGAGTAAAAATAAGGTACATTTTAGAGGTTTCAAGTTACATAGTGTTATTACATGTAAGTAGGTTGTTATCATAAAGGACATTGCCTATATTGGTAGCAAGAGTAAAGTATGTTATTGTAGCTCTATTGATCATGTTTTAAACACTTAAAATTACAAGGTTCTGGCACGGTTTGAAGATTTTCCTAGTAAAAAATTGGAAGGTTTGAGAATGGCGGGAGCCCTATACTCAAAGCTAGATACGATTTATACAGATTTACAAAATTGGAAGATAGAGCCTCCTGTGAATGACCTTCTTGATAGAGTTGAGAATTACTTCAATAAGGTAAATAAAGTCTAATAATCTCATATTCTTGAAACTAATTTTGGTTTATATGCTAACATGTTGAGAGTTTTGCGTGAAAGATCAAAGAAGAAATTGATGCACTAGACAGAACAAAGGACGATGAACTCAAGAAATTTAAAAGTCAAAAGATCCATTTTGATTTTGGTATACTTATTAGGATCAAGGAATCGATGGTGGATGTTTCCTCAAGCTGCATGGAATTGGCACTAAAGGTATTTCTCTCATTTACATATTGTTGAGAAAAAGAAAAAAGAAAGAGAATGAGAATGAGGGCCTGTTTCTTTTTCCTATTAAGGGTTGTTTCTTTTTTACTTAATCCAGATGGAATGATTTAATGAGTTAAGTGAAAAAAAGTTGGTTTAATGTGTAACACACATTAGTCGCAAAGAAACAACATCAAAATTTTGTGTTTGGGGTCAAGTTGACTAAATTACAGTTTCAAGATTGATCAATGAAAGAGAATGCGAATGAGGGCCTGTTTCTTTTTCCTATTAAGGGTTGTTTCTTTTTTACTTAATCCTGATGGAATGATTTAATGAGTTAAGTGAAAAAAAAGTTGGTTTAATGTGTAACACACATTAGTCGCAAAGAAACAACATCAAAATTTTGTGTTTGGGGTCAAGTTGACTAAATTACAGTTTCAAGATTGATCAATGAACTTACATTTTTTTTACCGATTTATGTAGTCATGTTTCAGTTTGTTACTTGTTTATGCAACCATTTTTGTAAAATAATGCATAAATCGATAACAATTTGTTAACAAATTTAAACATGACCACATAAATTGGTAAAAATCGCAACTTCATCACATAATGAAGCGTTTTACCCATTTTTATAAATCATGAATATACTAGATCTTATAATAAACATTGTAAATTAACAAATTATATGTTGTAATTACGTTGCTTTTATGTGTGAAAAGTATTAATGTGTTGCTATTATAGGTAAACAATATAGTACATTGTACAAATTTGGTAAAAAAAAATGTAAATACATTGCTATTATCGGTAAAGAAATGTAAGTAGAATGCTATTATGGATAAAAAAAACAAGTACATTGCCCATATTGGTAAAAAAAGGTAAAGTTCATTGTCATTTCTTGCAATTTGTGGGTTTTTGCTATATGTATAATGATCATGCTCAAACCAATGATGTCACTTGGTATTGGAATAGGAAAAAAGAGAGACAAGCTCATCCAAAAAGAATGAAAAAAAAGAGACAAGTTCATCCAAAAAGAATGGCAAAAAAACGGATTCTGGGAAAATCCTTTGGAAGGCATTTCAGTTTGCGTTTAGGGTCTACTCGTTTGCAGGCGGACAAGACGAGCGTGCTGAAAACTTAACAAAAGAGATCGCACAACAAATACAAGCTGAGACTTTGCACTAGTATTTATCACTCTACAGGAAACAAGAGCTTTAGTTGACATGTATATATACATTGTAGCACAATATCAAGCCATTTGAGGCGCTTGAGAACACTCACATAAGAGCTTTGGGGTTGAGCAATGTGTTATGCTAGGCTTATGTGCATTGTGTCCTATATGTAAACAAAATTTTGGACACTCTTGTGTATAAAATTAACTTTCATCATCATAATCTACATGTGATGCATTTGGTTGCGTCTATGTCCCTTTTGTGGTTAGGGGGTGTTTGGATGTGCATATCGGTTTTCACTAGTGGTGTTCAAGAATATCTAAAACTAATATATATATATATATATATATATATATATATATATATATATATATATATATATATATATATATATATATAGTGTTAATTTTATTTTATAATTATTCGGATGAAACAATTAGAGACACTAAATGGAGTTACATCTCTAATGATTCTTTCCCTTTTTATTGCCTCGCATACAGTATGTATTCCTTTTCATGGGTTTCTAGTAGTTTCGCTTACAAACCCGACTTTGGCTTTTACCAAGTCTTGATGTTGTATTATTTTGATTAGTTTCTTGTCCGTATCCTCAAATAAATATATTGATTCCTTGTAAGAAAAAACAAATACAAATAAGGTGGTTCAAATTCAAGGTCTAGTAATCCCCAATAAAATATAATGATGCTCATTTATTATGTAGATATAATAACTAATATGCTATTAAGGGGTTGTTTGATATGCCTATTATATTGAGTCTGGTAAGCGGTTGACCAGACTTAGTTGAGTCGTTTGATACCACAATTAGAAAACCGATTCAATTCTATAACATTGATGTTACTCTTACCACCGTTTGATACCAGATGACTGATTCGATTCTATAACATATGATGTACCTCTTCCTGGTTGGTAAGAAGTTGTTACTGGTCGGTAAGAAGTTGGGTTTGCTTTATTAATATTTTGACTCAATCAACAACTATCAAACAACCGTAAGTTGTGTGTGAAAAAAATATTGTAGATTTGTATATTGAAATTTCAGTATATATCTTTATCTGTAACCGAATTTATTGTGATAATGGTCGGTGGAACGTGTAAAGATAAGCTAGCAAAATAAGGAGTGTCATGATATATCAAAAGGGAAATAGACTTATTAAGGTAAATAACTTTTCGGTTTGTTCACATTGGGTTAACTATCTTTTTTTGTACACATCTAAGTAACGAACTTTTTGGAAGTGTTCACATATGACCATTATGACCGGCTGTAGCAGGTTACATCCGGTCATAGCCGGTCATAATGGTCATATAACACTTCCAAAAAGTTTGTTACCTAGATGTGTACAAAAAAAAAGATACTTGCCCAGATGTGAACAAACCGAAAATGTAAGAGTAAATTACACGAATGGTCCATGTGGTTTGGGTAATTTGTGCGTTTGGTCCCTAACTTATTCTTTAACTCGGATGATCCCTATTATTTATTTTTGTTGTGCGTTTGGTCCATGTCTTAGCTCAAAAGACTATTGTGCCATTTTTAATTTATTTTTTAATTAATTTTCATATTTATGTATTTTTTATTTATATATTTAAAAAAGTTAATAGACCCCACATATTTGTAGCTCCTCACCCACAACCCACTGTCTCTTCATTGAATTTTCCACCGCCACAACCTAATAGAAGGGTTGGTGTTGGTTCGCCGGAGTTGAAGGATCGAAAAAAGAAGGGATGGTGAAGATGTCGATGTCACTAAAGATGGAAATGAAATAGAAGTTGAGGAGGATGAGAGATAGGATGGTGACCGGTGGGACCCAACTTAAATTTCTCAAATGTGGTTTTAGCTTTAGGGTGAGGAGATACAAATATATGAGGTCTATTAATTTTTTTAAAATATATAAAAAATAAAAACATAAATAAGAAAATTAATTAAAAAATAAATTAAAAATGGCACAATAGTCTTTTGAGGTAAGACAGGGACCAAACACACAACAAAAATAAACAGTAGGGATCATCCGAGTTAAAAAATAAGATAGGGACCAAACAAACAAATTACCCAAACCACATGACCATTCATGTAATTTACTCTTACCTTTTCGGTTTGTTCACATCTGGGTAACTATCTTTTTTTTGTACACATCTAGGCAACGAACTTTTTGGAAGTGTTCACATATGACCATTATGATCGGATGTAACCTGCTACAGCCGGTCATAATGGTCATATGCAAGGTTTAAAAGTACGGAATCGCGCCTTGAAGCGTTTTCCCTCCGCCTCATGAGGCGTAAGCCTCGATGCGGAGTGAGGCGTAACCTCGAGGCGGAATAATATATATAAATATATATATATATATATATATATATATATATATATATATATATATATATAATAAGATACTAAACATGTCTTTTAAGCTAATTTCACCATCAAATCCATTAGTCATAAAAAAGACATTCAAAAACATAAAAAAGTCTAGAACATCAAAGTCTAAAACTTCAAAAAACAGCCACATAGGAAACACACACAAAGAAAGCATAAGTTAGTGATAAGTTCAAATAAAATAATCAGCATCATTTGCATCATTTTCAAACAGGTCACCCTCATCATCGTCAATCAAATTCACTTCATCCCCGTCATCCTCGTCAATCAAATTCACTTGAACATTTTTCCTTTTCCTAGTTCCACTCCCTTCCCCAATTGTCCCGCCACCTCTAGGTCTTCCAATAGCCCGCCACCTCTAGCACTTCCGATTACCTCGCCATCTTCCTCCCCAAATTTCCCGCCACCTCCAATGTCATCTTCCTCACCATCACTTGGGGATGCTATCCACTCATCATTCGACCATATATGTTCAACAACTAAGGGGTCACATTCTTTTAATTTAGCCCTCTTAATGCACTTTTTCTTCAACTTTTTATTGTACATGATGTAATCCAAGTTGTTCATTCTTTCATTGTTTAACCGGTTGCGTCTCTTAGTATGGACTTGATTGAACGTACTCCAGTTACGTTCACAAGCCAAAGCGGAACACATAAGACCCAAAACCTTTATTGCAAAGGACTTGAGTTCCGGAGCATCGTCTCCATATTCCCCCCACCATGTAACTATATATGTTTATCCAAATAATCTTGTTTTTTCTTTGTAAGCAATGAGTTGATCTTCAATCTTCAAATTGTTGTATCCTTCACGAGCCTTTCTATAACATCATACAATCCTCGCTTAATCTCCGGATGCTCGGAAACATTGGGACTCCATCGATATTGTGGATTTAAGTAGTAGGCAGCCGCATGCAAATCACGATGCATTTGCAACTCCCATTTTTTATCGATAATGTCCCAAATTTCTTTATAAGAAGCGAGGTTGTTATCCAAGTTCTTTGCTATTTTTTCTTTGCACTCGTCCATCGCCCCATAAATAAATCCCATTGCTGGTGTTTGCTCCCCATCAACAAGCCTTAAAACTTGAACAAGTGGCATTGTAGTTTTCATGGAATAAACCACACTAGGCCAAAAATTTCTTTCATCCATAACTATTTTTTTTATCTCTCTACCATCGGGTTTCTTAGCCCAAGAAGATGTCACTCATTCATTTGAAACAAACATTTGTTGTAACTGTTGTTTCGATTCGTAAATGCTTTGTATAGTCAGAAAAGTCGTGGCGAATCTCGTGGCAGCCGGTCAAAGTAGATCTTTCTTTAAAATATTCATGGATAAACTTAACACCCATTGATGGTTGTAGATGAAATTGCTAACTTTCTTTGCTTTAAGCAAAGCATTTTTATGTTGAGTCAAATCCCCGATTTTTTCAAGCATCAAATCGATGCAGTGAGCTGCACACGGGGTCCAATACAAGTTTTTTCTCTTCTCCATTAACAATGCTTCAGCAGCTTTGTATGCACTAGCATTGTCGGTCGCTACTTGAACGACAATATCTTCCCCGATCTCTTCAACAACTTCACCAAGCAATTCGAAATTTTTTTGAGCATTTTTTATGTAATCTGATGCATCAATAGTTCTTTAAAATACAGTTCCATATTGATTGTTGACCAAAAATTTGATCAGACTTCGATTTCTTATATCTGACCAACCATCTGATAACACTAACACCCCAGTTGTCTTCCAAGTTGCTTTTATGTCATCCACATTGTGGTCGTTGTCTTGACTTCTTCTTGTTGGGTTTTAGTTCAAAAATAGTTTCAAAAACTAGAAAAATATGGCAACGGAAGACTTTAATTTTTGAAATAACATAAACATTTTATACCCACCAAGGATCTTCTTGCAAGTTATAGAAAGATTAAAACACCAACCATAGAAAGGATGAAGAAATAACAACCTTTGTAGTTCTTTGGGTCCTCTTGGGAGGTTTGTAAGTTGATGAAGAATGTGGAACCTTTGAGACACCAACAATGACTCAACTTGATGTAGATGCTAGTCCATAAAACTCTTAAACCCTTAAGTTTTAAGTTCATAACCAATATGAACTTAAAAGGACATGAAGATGCAAATATTCTTGAAGAAAAGAAAAACAAAAGAGAGAGAGTAACCTCCTCTAAGGAGGTTACAGTTTTAAGATTGAGGAATGAAGCAAGCCTTTCAAGAATGCAAACTTCTTATTTATATGCATAAAGTGAAAGTATTAACCATTAGGTCTTAACACTTTAAGCACATATGTCCCCGTGTCATAAACATGTCTCCCATGCTTCATTTATTTTTGAATAAACTAATGGAAAACCCATGACTCTTTTCTTTTCCTCTAATTTTCGGAATTATATATATAAAAAGAAGAGTTAGTTTAAATTTTATAAACTCAAGTTTTATAAAATATAAACTTTGCCTTTTGAGTAAAAGACAAAAGGGTTTAAACTAGTCCAAAAAGTTGTACACAACTTATTAATTCATACCATATGAATTTATGTAATATTACTTGCTAATGAAAAATTATTATTTCCATAAAATAAATAATTTTCATTTTAATTATAAGAGTTTTATTGAATATTTATTAAAATTAATTTCTAATAAATAATCAATTATATCAAGTTGGTGTTAGTGTGACCCATTAGTATCATATGTTAATAAACAATCACTTTAATATGGTTCTTGACTTCTTCTTGAAGGATCCAAGTTCGTAACTCATGCATTGAAGGGGGTTTCAATCCCGTCCATAGTTTCCAATAGAATGTACCATACTAGCAAATGATGGACTAGTCGATACATTGAACGGGATTCCATTCTCGTAAAAGAACCTCCCAATGTCCATGTAAACTTGGTTTCGATGCTCTTTAGCACTCGTCGGGGTCATTTTGACAGGAGGTCCTTCACCATCTATTGCACCCTCATGTCCCTCCATCATCCATCTATCTATTGGGCCTCTAACACTCCTATAGCTACCAGTTGTAAATTATGGATTGACACTTCCGCCACTATTGTAGTATGCCCCGCTTGCCACGTTTTCTTCAAAGGTCATTCGAGAAGCTAATTTAGTAGCCTCAAATGCTTTAAAAAACTTAAGCATTTCTTCTTTCACTATATCTGGAACATTAGGACAAGGCTCTACATCCTGGTGTGTACAAGCAAGATGATTCTTCACTCTCTTCACTCCTCCCTTAATGATTTTGCTACAATAGTTACATTTTAGATATATGTATCCCTTTTTCGGACCCTCTCCTACTACTTCTTCACTATGCTGCCAAGCAGGATCCGTTCTCCCACCTCTACTAGACATCCTACTGTTGTAACACCCTCAAAAATCATGTCAATTAAAAAAAAATTAAAACATTTAAAACCATTAGATTATTACAACTTGTTTTCAAAATAGTCTAAGCATCAGAGTATCTCCAGAATCAAATCATAAAAACATAAGGAGGTGCACGATCACGCCTTCGCCTTCCCGCGATCATCAGAAGTACCTAAAACATAATCAACAACTGTAAGCCCGAAGTGTAGTGAGTTCCCCCAAAATAACCGCACAATAAGTAACACACATATAATTACAGCATACTATGGGTCCAATCAACCATTGGGTTGGAATACCCAAGCCCTCAACCATCGGGTTGGAATGCCCACATACTATGGGTCCAATCATCCTCGAGATGGAATACTCTCGACCCACAACCATCGGGTTGGAATGCCCACATACTATAAGTCCAATCATCCTCTGGATGGAATACTCTCGGCCCACAAGCATCGGGTGGGAATGCCCACATACTATGAGTCCAATCATCCTCGGGATGGAATACTCTCGGCCCACAACCATCGGGTTGGAATGCCCACATACCATGAGTCCAATCATCCTCAGGGTGGAATACTCTCGGCCCACAACCATCGGGTTGGAATACCCACATATCATGAGTCCAATCATCCTCGGGATGGAATACTCTCGGCCCACAACCATCGGGTTGGAATGCCTACATACTATGAGTCCAATCATCCTCGGGATGGAATACTCTCGGCCCACAACCATCGGTTTGGATTGCCCACAATCAATCAAACATGTGCACCTATATCAGATAATCCTATAACAGTCTATAGAGACAACATACTAGGGTCCAATCATCCTCAGGATGGAATACCCTCATCTACCAATCAAACATGTGCACATATAATAGATAATCACATAACAGTCTACAGACAGTCAAGCAGATCTAGCAGATCCCTAAGCATAGCATCATCCTATCTACCAGGATACCAGTCCAACAGATCATAACAATACACAACCATAAGATAACCAGGATAACAATCCAAAAGGGCCGGACTTGGTGCCTTAGACCCTTGAGTATAGTGAGGAGAACTCACCTTACAATGTCGAACTGTAGTGATAAGGTCACACTCCCGAATCCCAGCCACGAACTCCAACACATGTAACCACCATAGGACCAAGTTCATCAAGATCCCTAATTACCAAAATACCCTCAGGCATCAAACCTGGTCAACCTTTGGTCAAAGTAAAAGTCAACGGGTAAGGTCAACAGTCCATGTTGACCCAACTCGTCGAGCGCAGCTTACTGACTCGCCGAGTTCCTTCAGAACTCAGAAATCGCGAAAACTCCAGTCAACTCGCCGAGTTGCCAACCAACTCGTCGAGTCCATGCAGTGTCCAGAAAACGGGGAAACCCGTCTCAACTCGTCGAGTTGGCCATCCAACTCGTCGAGTTCTTCAACCAAATTGCATTCAACCCATTCCAGTCGAGCCCAAAGCTCCAAATTCCAGATCTAGCTTCCTAGAGTGGAGTTACCACGTAAAGTTGCCAACTTTACGTGCATGCAAGGCCTTAAGAGGCTTAAAAGACCAAAACCAAGTCTAGGATGAGGTTTAAGGCGTGGAGGAGAGCCAAATCTTGCTAAAGTTAGGAACTTTATGCCCAAGGGGCCTAGAAGAGTCCAGATCTGAAGCCATGTCCTTGTGATAAGCTCAAACCCGAAAGTAACTCCATTTTTTCCCTAGAAATGACCATTTTCTTTCACAAGGGAAGATCTAAACAATGAGAAGTCAAGGTATTAGCTTTATACCTTAGATTGGTTGCCAATACAAAGTAGATACGGATCTACAACCTTCTTTTTGATCCAAGCTTCTAAATCTTCAAGCTTCTTCAATAATTGCCCCAAAAACACTCTTTTAGCCTCACAAACACAAAGGAGCAGTAAAGAACGACTAGGGTTTCCTTCTTTGGATAATGAGGTGATAAGTGAGGCTAGAGGATGCGGGTTAAGTCCTTTAAATAGGGTGCAAACCCTAAAAATTAGGGTTTTCTCATTCAGATCCTACTCGTTGAGTTGGGGTCCCCCAACTCGTCGAGTAGACCTCATAAATCACGCGGGTTGGCTACTCTCTACACGACGAGTTGGGGCCTCCAACTCGTCGAGTAGGCTTCCTTATTTGCAATCAAATCCCTAAAATCACACTCCTGGAAATCGGGATGTTACAACTCTCCCCCACTTAAGCTAGGCTTCGTCCTCGAAGCCTGTTGCGGCGAACAAATTCGGATAATACTCTTGCATCACAGCCTTCGGCTTCCAAGTCTACTCGGATTCCCTCCGATGCTCCCATTACCCCTTTCCAAAAGTATTATCTTCCTACATAGAACCTTCATTTTCCTTTCCACAACGGTGTAACACCCATAAAAATCATGCCAAATTTGAACTTTTAAAAACATTTCAACCCATTAAAAATCATTACATCTTTGTTTTCAAAATGTATAATATTAGAGTTTTCCCAAAAACATAAACAAAACATGAAGAGTTGTACGATCATGCCTTCGCCTTGCCACGATCCCCTGATGTACATGAAACAATAAACTGAAACTGTAAGCCCGAAATCTTAGTGAGTTCCCCCAAAATACCCATACCCACAACAATACACATATAATCATAAACAGCATACTATGGGTCCAGTCAACCATCGGGTTGGAATACCCCAGGCCCTCAACCATCCGGTTGGAATGCCAACATACTATGGGTCCAATCATCCTCGGGATGGAATACCCCAGGCCCACAACCAACAGGTTGGAATGCCCACACACTACGAGTCCAATCATCCTCGGGATGGAATACTCACGGCCCACAACCTACAGGTTGGAATGCCCAGGTCTATTGGCCTCCGCACAAAGCAGATAAGCCTCAATCGCTAAACAAACATGTGCACATATAACAAATAATCACATAGCATTCTATAGACAATACTTGACCTAACGGATCATACCACATAGCACATAACACCATCCTATCTACCAGGATGCCGATCTAACAGATCATACCACATTTCATATAATATTATCCTACCCTCTAGGATACCGATCTAACAGATCATACCACATACCATATAATATTATCCTACCCTCTAGGATACCGATATAACAGATCATACTAGCATAACATAACCAGATAACAATCCAAAGGGCCGGCCTTGGTGCCTTAGACCCTTGAGTATAGTGAGGAAAAATCACCTGGCATTGCTGAAGTCCCGCAGATAAAACTCCAGCTGCTGGTTGACAGATTCCCGAACTGTCAACATCAAACAATACCCAATTAATAATTGGGTTCTAAGCCCAAGGTCCAACTCACACTCCAAAGACCCAAAAGTCAAGTAATAGGCCAAAGCCCAACATATGGCCCAATTTTCCAAATTGGGCCCAAACCTTTACAAGGTCTTACCATAAGGCCCATCCTATTATTCTAGTCCAAACTCTTGGTATCCCCATGGCCCAATATCATATAATCATAAAGGCCTAGTTATGGCCCATCTATGGCCCAATTTTCCAAATTGGGCCCAAGTCTCTCACATGGGCCTTACCCTAAAGTCCATCTAATTATTTTGGTCCATTAACTTGTTCTTGGATAGCCCATCAATAGCCCAAACACCAAAACCCAAAAGAAAGGCCCAACTCAAGGCCCAAGTGAAGTTTAGGTTTCCACATGAAATGACGATTAGGGTTAAGTGTTTCTTACTTAACCCATTAAGGACTTAATCCATTAAGTCCAATATTGCCTTAGGTTAATTTGCCAATGATTATTATTTAATATTTCCAGTTTATTAAATAATTCCCGTGCGGTCCCGATAAATCCCAAAATTAGGGTTTCAAGGCATTAGGGTTTTCCAAACCCTAATTAGGGTTTCCAACCCAAATACTAGCCCATTAATCAAATGGTTGGGCTTTTAGGTCAATTAGGGATTTATTGGGCCCATTAGGGTTTCATTGGGCCCACTTTGTCCAAGCATCCCCAAACGAGTCAAAATGCAAACGAGGCACACCGCCACCCAACACGGCGGTTGGTGGCAACAAGAGGCGACAGCCACCATGGTTGGATGCGATGGTGGTCTTCTACCGTTTCTAGCCAACCCTCCACCCACACACACCTGCGGTGACGACTGAAACACGCATAACCTTGGCTGAGATACGAAATCACGCACGAAAAACACACAGCAGCCCCTTCGGGGTGGTGAACGGCGGACTACGGTGAAACAGAAGACGAAGGGTGGCGACTCCCAACGGAAAATCAGCAATGGCAGAAAAGGCGTCGCTCAGCAGTCTTGGTTGGTCGGATAATCAAGGGAGTCGAGTGGGTGGCTGGACGATGGAGGAATGAGAAGAGCGGCGAACCTCCAGGTGGTTTCCGGCTTCAACGTCGACTGGCATGGCGACAGAAGATGGTTGGGATGCGGCGGCTATCGGCGGCAATGTACATGGCGGTGACGGGGTGGCGGCGTCGGAGAATGGAGAAGGAGGGTGATGGCGGCTGCCATCTCTATTAGGGTTAGGGTTTTTCAAGGTGCGACGGGGTTAACACGGGTTATATACCCGACTCTAATAAACTATATCCGATAATGACAACATTAGCCCCTCCTTTTTCTTATCTTTTTCACAGCAGGTCCAAATTTTACCATTTATGCCCTGTCTACTGAAATCCTTTACAATTTAAGTCCAAAAGATACCAAACGCCCCCTGACCTCTAAATTCCTTTGCAAAATTAATCCCGACATTACACTTTAACCCCCGCAACTTCCATTCTTGTCATTTGGCTTCCCTAAACCAACACCCCGCTAATTATTATTTGATTTTTGGCTTTAATAATATAAAAATTGCTTCTCGGGGTCACGGTTTATTATTTAATTTTTATACTTTAAACGTTACAACTCTCCCCCACTTAAATTTGATTTCGTCCTCGAAATCGTTTCTTTTCATTCCTTACCCGCCAAACAACTTGAACTACAATCCCGAGCATAACCCT